ATACAGTAATATTAAATATATAGCACATTATATGTAGATATTTAATAGCATTCAAAAGTTTGGAAAAAGATTTTTCTAAAGAAATTAATACTTTTATTCAGCAAGGTTGCGTTCAATAGTTCAAAAGTAACTGTTAAAGACATTATAATGTTACAAAAGATTTCGGTTTCAAATAAATGCTGTTCTTTTTTGAACTTTCTATTCATCAAAGAATCTTGAAAAAAATCTAAAACTAAAATATTAAGCAGCACCACTGCTTTCAAAACTGGTGGTAAGAAATGTTTTAGAAGCATATTAGAAAGATTTGAAGGTCCATGTAACACCGAGGACTGAACACTCAAGAATAACAGAAAACATTTATTTTAAATTGCGAGAATATTTCACGATAATCCCGTTTTCTTTTTTCAAATAAATGCAGCCTTGGTGAGCATAAGCAACTTCTTTTAAAAACCTATTAGGTTTTATAAAATGAACTTTGACCTTATTACGCCACAGTGTGCTTGGCTAATTGTGTTTGTGAACAGCAATAACACACGTCTCGTCACTGTCTCGTCCAGCAGCCTCTGTATCTGTTGCCCTGAGTGTTTATGAGCTGATTTAATCTGGCCCACTCAGATGCTATTTCTCTCTCCCATTGCCCTCTTTCTCTCTTCTCCCCTGCCTCTCTTTACACTATCGCTTCTCAATCTCTGAACCAAACTACTTCTGCTGTGCTATTGGTCAGCATGCTTCATTTTAAGGATGACATTCTCTAGGAAACACGAAAACAAGGCAGTATTCAGTGTCTCTTTCTCTCCCTTCCTCGTCTTGGCTTCAGACGAGGGCACCGCTGTGTACTACACTGCATAAAGTGTCTTCTCTTTCACTCTGAGAGTCTCTCTTCGTCTCATTTACAGCAGAGAGTTCAGGACAGCGACCCGGGAGACAGAGGCGCTCTGTGATCTGTCTGTACCAAGGCTCATTAGGAGAAGTTCAGAACATCCCATTCCGTGAACAGCTCAACCACTCACACACAAAGTCAAAGAAGATCGCTCTCTGCATATCCACCTGCAAGCCTGTGCTAAAGGGATAGTTTTTCATGCAATAATAAATGTTTTGCTTTAACTCACCTACATGTCGTTGCAAACCTGTATGACTTTCAATTTAACACAACAGGAGAAATTTTGAAGAATGTGCTGCCATTTATGTGAATTGGGTTGCAGGCTATTTAAAAGTTTCTATAAAGTGGTCCATGTGATTTGTGCGCTATAGCAAGTCTTTTGAAGGTAGTATTCTGTGAGGAACAGAACAAAAAGTTATTCACCAAAATTGTTTCTTTTCACTAGCTGGGTTTCCATCCAAAGCTGCGAAAATTGGAATATCGCATAAAACATTTGCGAATAAAGCAACGAGTCAAAGAGAACAAAATAGTCACTTCCTCGTAAACTGCCACTAAATATCACTAAGTAATGTGTGAGAAGCCACTGAATAGAATAATTTTCATATATAATAAACTAGTTGCGCCTCGAGACACAAATGCAGTCATTGCTTTCGGAGGTGCATGCCTGCTGTTTGGGAACGCAGTCGTGTAAGACAGTTCCGGGAGGCAATTACAGTGGTGTGAAAAAGTGTTGGCCCCCTTCCTGATTTCTTATTTTTTTGTATGTTTGTCACACTTTAATGTTTCAGATCATCAAACAAATTTAAATATTACACAAAGATAATGCAAGTAAATACAAAATGCAGTTTTTAAATTAAGGGAAAAAAGCTGTCCAAACCTACGTGGCCCTACATGAAAAATTAATTGCCCCTCCTGTTAAATCATGAAAGAACTGCAATTAACCACATTATTTTAGAAAGCAGATTTCAATTTCACTAGCCACACCCAGGCCTGATTACTGCCAGACCTGTTGAATCAAGAAATCACTTAAATAGAAAATACTTTGATGACAGACTTTACTCAGGCATTTCAGAATGACCATAACATTTCAGATGATGTGCAAAAAGAAACTTTTTTGATGCTCATCAAGTAAAAACAACAAGACAAAAACCACCTCAAGCAAGCGAAAAAACATTTTTGCGAATTAAGGGCTTTTTTCCCAGAAATTTTCAGAATGTGCATAAAAACAGGGTGATGGAAACATAGCCACTATCTACTTTTATTCTTAGATTTGACCAATACAATGTGACCAATCGCATATGGAAAATGGGTTATTTTAGTATTATTTATATACTATTTTAGTATTTTTTATTTTTATATTGAATAAGCTTTTATTTTTATATTTTCATTTAAGGTTGTAAGTTTTATTAATTTTGTGCTTTTGTTATTTTTTATAAATTATTTTTTGTTTTAGTAAGTAAAGTACTTCGACTTATTTTATTTCAGTTACTTTCTAATTTTAGTTTTATCTAATATTTATATTTTATTTTATGTCATCTTTAGTTCAATTAATGAAAATGATTTTTAAGTTTTAAATAACTCAAATGAGATATGAGAGTTTATCATCACACAAACCTATCATATGGCTTCAAAACTTTTGGAATATAGCTTACAATCCATACTGACGACTTCTATGAAAAACATATATATATATTTTTTTTGTCCATTTAGGAGCTTGACAGCTGCAGTCTCCTTCCATGTCCATTATATGGAAGTGCAGCATGAACATTCTTCTAAACTTCTCTTTTTGTATTCCACAGAAGAAAGAAACAGGATTCGAACAACAGGGTGAGAAAATAAATACATTTTTGATTGAACTTTCTTTAAAGTCAGTTATTCACCATAGGACCATCATAACATGTAAAGGTTCCTATATGCACAATCATGTTAAGCAAACATTCTGTCAACATCAGTTGTTGTGTATTAAATTTGTGTGTGTTAATTAAACACTGAGCTGGAGGGAATGACGATGTTAACAAAACACACACACACACACACACACACACACACACACACACAAAGGCATACTATGGTAGTGTTTCACCACAGTTGCATGGTCACAATGAGCATTGGTAAACACAAACAGAATACCTCCAACAACATTTTCTTACTAAATTTATTCTATCAAAAGTATAAAAACACAAATTTTTCTCACTCTGGCTCCCTCTTGTGGCCAAACCATGTGTTAATTCCCACTGCAGCATTCGAGTTACTTTCCACAACGAGTTACTTTCCACAGTGAGTGGGTGTGTGTGTGTGTATTTTTTGTCGAGAGCTGAAGAAAATCACATCCCACGTTATTATATAATCTGCTCATTCCTTCTCTCTGTTTCTCTTTCTCTCCCTTGGCTGAAAGTGAGTGAAATTAGCATACATGAGGCTGTAATTAGAGACATTTAACACCATATCTGTTAAAGCAACACATCATGTGATCTCACTGTCATCAAACACGCTATTTAGTCTTCATCACACACGGGGGAAAAAAAATTCCATTAAGCATTCACAATTTCTGATTTACCCACACGGGCTGCAGGAATAACTATTGGAGGACTTATGGAATTACAGGTAAAATATACCTTTATTTGCCTGATAAATACCTGAAAGCTGAAACGGTTGCATTAATATGAGTGTGCAGATATATGTTCTCCTGCAGAAATATTTCCCAAACGTGCAGGCTACAGTATAAAGTCTCAAAAAACAGATCAAGTTATCCTGAAATTTCTTCTGTTTAGTGTCATACCAGAGATGCTCCTATTATATATCTGTGGTTTCACTGCAGTCGAAAGCAAGACAGATCGAACAGGATTGTTTATCAAACAAATACAATTACAGGCAAGATTCAGAGCCAACCGAAACTATTACAACAAATCGGCCAATAGGATGTCAGAATGATTCAGGATGATGTCTCAACCTCTGGTTGTCTTTTCAAAGATCCTCTAGCAAATCTTGTTTCAAAAGACAGCTTCATTCCAACAGAACCAACACATCAATAACAGAATATACGGCTAAACACTTGGGTCTGTAATAAATACAGGGTTCGCACATTCACACATTTTTTTATAAAAGATGTATACACATATATATATATACATATATACATATATACATATATATATATATAATACAATAAGATGACTTATTGTATATTGTGTGCAAGACATTTATGGTGCATTTTGTAGCCCAAATCCACGTTCACTTTTCTAATATGGAAAAGAGCAGCAAGAACATTCTTCAAAATATATATTTTTGTGTTCCACAGAAGAAAGTAAGTCATACAGGTTTGTAACAACTTGAGGATGAGTAAATGATGAGAATTTTCATTTTCGGCTGAACTATCCATTCAAATTTCACATATGATTGAACAAAAGCAGGTTTGCACATTAGTGTGTGTGTGTGTGCTATAGTATCTTATCACAACACAACCACTCCCCTCTGCAGTGTCCTTTCAGAGATTGTGAAGGAGAAAGGGGAGTGCAAGGTTGTTTGGGACAAGTGAGATTTATTTGATGTCAGGTCTCCTGCACATACACACACACACACACTCAGTGCTAGAAGCTTTGCTGGATTACTCTAGAGGGGGTCTTAAATGGACTATTCTTGGGGGAGGGTTCACCCTGGGAAGTGTATGTGATAAACGTGGATACCATGAAACCTCATTTAGTAATGAAATCCATGACGCACACATGTATCACATGCAGAATTTCAATGATCAGCACGTTTCGTACAGCTACTTTTCATTACAATGTTTGAACAAAAGCAGGTTTGCACATTAGTGTGTGTGTGTGTGCTATAGTATCTTATCACAACACAACCACTCCCCTCTGCAGTGTCCTTTCAGAGATTGTGAAGGAGAAAGGGGAGTGCAAGGTTGTTTGGGACAAGTGAGATGCAGGTCTCCTGCACATACACACACACACACACTCAGTGCTAGAAGCTTTGCTGGATTACTCTAGAGGGGGTCTTAAATGGACTATTCTTGGGGGAGGGTTCACCCTGGGAAGTGTATGTGATAAACGTGGATACCATGAAACCTCATTTAGTAATGAAATCCATGACGCACACATGTATCACATGCAGAATTTCAATGATCAGCACGTTTCGTACAGCTACTTTTCATTACAATGCTCTTCAGTTCAGTGTCTTTGTCTGTACTCACCCTGGGCAGCAGGCGAATAGCCTGAAGAAGTCGCTGTCTGTGGGCAGAGTTTAAAATTCCAATCTCTAGCAGGTCCTGGTCCTCCACGACATTACTACCCTGCAGTAAAAAAACAAAAAAAAATCAATGAAATCAATTGTACCACTATAAAGTATACATACAAATACAAACAAGCATAATAATAATAACGGCCTTCCAAAAAAAAAAGAAAAACAATCAATTTGGACTACTTTGGAAATAGGTTCACTGCAACAATGACACCTGTTGAAGCAGTAAAAAAAAAATCAAACTAAATAATAATACATTTATGATAATCCATTATTATTTGTATTATTATTATTATAACTATTATTATGCTTGGACAGAATCCATCTAGTTTTCATGGACATAAAAAAGGGCATAAGAGACAATTTGCTCTAATTTAAAAAATTGCCCACTTCAGATCACATGAACAACCCAATTCTCTCTCTCACACACACACACACAATTAAGCGACTGCTGCTTCATGCTGAGTTTCACATTTAATGACCTTTTGGTAACTCCAATCAGACCAATCAACCTCCTATCCAACAGGGCCTTTTCCTAACAAACACGCATACATGCAGCTTCCCTCATAGGATTAATTTCCGCCATGTGATTCCCCCATCCACCAAAGAACAAAACACACATACAAAAAACACATGGAAACATAAAGTGAATGAAATCATGCTGACAGATAACGCACTCCATGATGTGTTTGTATCACTCCACAAAGCTGGATAACCTTGATGGGCCCACTCTCAAGTAAAATTCACTTCTGAGCACCAGCATCTGCTCCATTCAAAGCAACACATTCCAGACCAGAGTAATGGCATGCAGAGTAGAGTTAGATTGATTGCAGGTGTCCCAAGACATTACTAATCAGTCACAGCACAGACCTGCTGAAAGCACACTGCTTGCTGCACACTGCATACTGCCTGCTATTTTTTAATAGCACAGCATGCATTATGCAAAGATAAACGTTTGTAAGAATATTATCCTTCATTGGTGTCACATTACACTGCATGTTTAACTCAGAAAATAATGCACATTTAATCCAAGCGTGTGTAAAAAATGTCTTAACTCTTAGCAGTTTGGTTGAATAATGGGTCAAGAAAAATATGTTTGAAATTACAGTTGATAATTCCAGTTCATTTGCAGAACAAAGGTCAAGTTGAGTCCGTTACATTTTGAATATTTAATGCTCTGCTAATTCTTTTTTTTTTTTTTTTTTTTTGGAAAAGGAGTTTACAATTTGAAATAAATAGTTGTGCAAGCAATCCATTTACAAAGTCATACAATTTGGGAACAAAAGAAGGGCGAGTAAGTGATGATACAATTTTCATTTTTGGATCAGGAAATCAGGCAATAGAAAACTGTGTGGCTTTGTGATGCCAAAACACACAGTAATCTGTGTAAAACTTCATATTTCTCAAAAATATATGAATTTATTTGTGTTAAACTGTGACAAACTGCCACAACCCATTCTCATCAACCAGTCTGTCAATCACCACCAAACTTTCTCTAAAAGATCTCCAAGTAGAGAAAACGTGTCTAATTTCTTGAGGGTTGGATCAAATTTCTTTTAATATCAAAATGCAAAGTACTATAAAAAATAATGCTACAGTGTGAATGTTCTAGCATTCAAACAGTGTGTAGGTGAAAGATATAACAGCGCATGAAAGAAGCAAACAGAATCTCAAACCCTCATAGCAAGTTCAGAGTAAGACAAATGACCAGCACCATGGCGCTAAATTGTTCATCTCAAAACTCCCAGAAGTCCTGAAGTGAGGTACCGCTATCATCTCTCCGACACTTAACTCTCTCTCAGGAAATGCTGTTGCCTGGCTCATTCAGACTAAATGCGTTGTTTAAATTTTTACTTTTAAAATGTCACATTGGTTCCAACAAAATGTTTCAGGCCAGTGCCATATTCATGCTCTTCCTAATACCGAGGGAACACGGCGACTACACACTGCAGTCCGTCTAATATATCAACTTTATTTGAAGAAAAAGAGAAGCAATAACGTTCAAGAAGAGAAACTTCACAAGCCCAACACATCAGAAGGCAGCAGCAGACCTCTATCTAATATTAATTGTATCTGAAGGCCTTTCAGAAGCTCCATCCTACAGAGACCAGAGAAAAAGGGAATGTGTGTCTGTTTGGTTCATCCAGAGGAGATGCTTTTGCTAGAGGCATAAAATTACATAGTAATGAACTGCTGACTGGACTAAAACACTCAAAGGTAATGGGTGCAATTTTTTGGGATGTTAAAACACTAATCCCAGTTTAATAAGACAACACTGGCTCAACTAATGCCGTAAGTTTGGGGCAGGACTATCTGTTTGACTGACCAATGGCAGATGTGGAAAGAGTTTGGGAGGCTTATTTGTAAACATTCATTATTTTTTTCTGTAAAAAAAAAAAACTGAAAAGGGAGCAAGGTTAGCGATTCCTAATACCTTTAGACATGTTAACACATGTTTTCCACAGTATCGCAGGGTCAGTACGATTTTCTATTAATGTTTTTAAAAGAAGAGTATTATGTTCATCAAAGGTGCATTTATTTGATCAAAAATACAGCACTAATAGTGTGATATATTATTACAAATTAAAACAATTGCATTTAATTTTATTATATCTTAAAATGTAATTTATATCTGTGATGTCAAAGATGAATTTTCAGCAGTCATAACCCCAGTCTGTGTTGAAAACAGTTGTGCATGATACTTTGATTGTTTGACGAATAGAAAGTTCAAAAGAACAGCAGCATTTATTTAAAATTAGATTTTTTTATAAGGGCTGTCAATTTAACGTGTTAATCTAATTAATTAATTATGTAACAAAAAAAAAAAAAACATGTTACAATTTTAACACAATTAACGCACATGCCCTGCCCATGATGAAGCCTATTGAGTGCAGTTATATGCCACTAAAATTCAAGTTATTGGGGCAAAAATGCCCCTGTATGAGATTTTGTCATATATATATCATATGATATAGTTAAGTCATATCACACAAGCAACGAGTGCAGTATCACACCAGTGCTGTTTTTGTCCCAAATAACACGAGTGCAAATGTGATACTGATTTTATACAACAGTTTAATAAATAAGAACTCAATATTGTGTTATATTTTAGACACAATATTGTCTTTTTTTGCTCAATTTAACTCAAACTTGCTATTAAAGCAAGAGCAGAACTGTTGTATGTCTCAGAGCAACACACCATTTCTGAATGAATTCATGTTTTGAACGAATCGTGTGAACAAATGATTCAATGGCCCATTCATAAAGAGAGCCATTTACTTAAAGGGGTCTTATGACGTTGCTAAAAAAGAACATTATTTGGTGTATTTGGTGTAATGAAATGTGTTTATTTAATTACAGATTATAATGACTTATACTGTTTTTACTCATTGTGTTGCGTATCGCACCGCGTAAAAATAAAACCATGTCTGCATTTGTGATCGGAGAAATGACAAACAACAAGCGCTACACTACACTGCTCAAAACTCGCATTTAAATCATCAGTGGCAAATCCTTTAAATATGAAAACTTACTTACAGACTGTGAGTCAGCATTATTTGTCAGCATCATAGACTATAGGGTCAGCATGTGCTCCGAAGGGGAAACAGGGGAACTGAATTCACCGGAACACCGGCATTGTAGGCTACTCTACCAGGATCAGGAAACAGTCCTCGTCCTCCATAAAATACACTGCACACATCTGAATATTTGGGTTGAGCTGTTCTGGAACAGTGTTGTAAATACAACTTAACCACTGATTTCTAGTTGTGTCCTCTTTTGGAAGGCCAAACAAAGTAGTTTCGCTTTCACAACTAAACACACAGCGTCTCCACGACATGGCAGCAGCAACAATACTACAGCGAGAATCAAAGTTA